TAACTCAATAAAGCTGGTTTCATCTTAGTTTACAGCACGAAGCGAATATCGATGTTTTATTAATACTGTACTATTACAGTCGTACCACTGAAGAGCGTTTTGATCGAGGGCCAGATTTTCACTGGAAAGGAACCGAAGGAGCTGAGTCTTACACTGGGCTAACTGAGAGTTGTCAATTTCGAATATAAAACACTTTCTTTCAATGTCCTGGTAACCATAGTATTCCGCCAAATAAATCGCAGCAAACGTTTTTTCGATGTTGAAAGGAATTTTGATAAAAGTAGAAAGCTCTTGAAACAAAAGTTGATTAGTAAAATCATCAATGTACGAAGACCTTGTTATACAACTTTCCATAGTTCTTTGGAATTTTTTCCTCAAATCCTAATCCATATTAGTGCCATACAGTAAATTCCTATCATAATTTTACAGTAAGAAGAAGTCGTAATTCGCTCCATATTGCAAATCTAGGTTGAAGACAGCTCTACAAGAATGGTACTAAACAACGTCGAAAACATTTTAGCAAAAAGTTGTCAACGACACATTAGGACAATTCTTTGGGACGCCTTGTATAAGAAGGAGATTACAGAGTAAAAAGCACGAAAACGGATCCATAATTTCTTCGTTATTGCTTCTATAGTTATATCTTTTCCTCCCTTTGTTGTGTCAGACGTTTTGATATCAAGCCGTGCTTTTATCATGGCCAATACGCTGCTTCTTTCGAATAAGACCATTATGACTTCTCTGTTAGGCTTTATGAAAAAAAAATGTAGTTCTCAGACGATATGGGGTGTTAGAAAAGATGGATGCGTTAGACTAAAAAAAGACGATGTTAGTTTTTGTTTATAGTATGACTTGACTTCGGAGATAGTTCATTCATCGTTTGACAAAATGTCTTTTTCCAGTGTGAGTTAGCGACCGTCACCGCCGCAGCCCTCGCTGTAATTTTTGTGGTAGGCTTTGTGGGCAACACTTGCACTTGTTTGGTGATTATTCGTGCAAGAGCCATGCATACACGGGCCAACTTCTTTTTACTCAGCCTTGCTTGTTCAGATATGCTTCTTCTTTTGCTAGGTAACAAGATTACAACAAATATATTTGGAAAACCCTTGCATCAAACCATTATTATAGCTTGTCCATTGGACTTCTATACATTAATGAACTGTTACACCGTTACAAGCGACTTTTTATGCAAGTTTTGGTTTTTCGGAAAAGAAGCATGGGGCTTCTTGTCTGTACTCATTATATGCTCTTTCACTGCGGAACGCTGGTTGGCCATATGGTAAGCTTTAATATATAAGAGTTATCCATATTTTTTTTTCTTATTATACAGACTTGTAGTCTTTCTCGTTATTTCCTTTTTTGAGTGCAGCTTGGGTTACCATACGATAAAGCAAAGCAAGATCCACAAGATGCTCCGTAATCATCCTCTTAAATCGTATCCCACGTAAAGTATGTGGCCAAATTCTGAAGCATTCAAAACGGAATTTAGCTTGAGTTAGTACCTTTGCAAACATTCTACAGATCCCCGATCCACTAAACAAATACTTGATGCTTCACACATTTTATCATAAATTTCCTTATTCTTTCCTTCCAGAAACGAAGGAAAAATTGGTTAGGGTAAAATAGCAAACGCCACCTCTAATGGTCCTGGCTTCCCGCTCACATGTGATTATATATCCTAAGCATTGAGAAATACGAGCACGTACTGTTGTAAATGCACCCGCTGTCAAGACCTATTAATTTTATTGTTGAAATCGAA